CATTGCCATTTTCAAATTCTTTAGCTTCTGTGTCTAGGCGGAAGTCTACTCAGAGCCACAAAAGGTAAGCTTTTTGTTTTGTTTTGTTTGTTTAATCTTAATTAGTGATCGAGTTTCGTAGATACTCAATTATGTGTCTGATTCTATGCTTCTGCGTTTTCCTTTTGACACGTAATGTTTTGTTCTTGCCTTTAGATTCTTGTGATTTTATTAAAAAGCTAGGCAGAATCCTGACATCAATGCCATTTATTTCTGAGAAATTGTATCTTTTTTTCTTAGTGTGATTATAATAATCACAAAACACAATTTAATGAACCCTTAAAAAATGAGCAAACTTGCGTAAATGCAAGATAACATTTGACAAAATTTTGATGCTTCGTGTGATATAGACTGTTTTAGAGTGAGTAAGCTCTGGTTTTGATATCAGAATTTCTGTTTTTACTTTTCTTACAAATCGATATTCTTACATACATTTGTAGCTAATATGTAAACTTTTTCGAGTATTTTCAATTTCTTGTAGGTTTTGGCAATGAGTGATCCACGGGTACGATCATTGCAGATCAGTGATGGTGATTTGGAGGTTGCTCAGCTTGATGAACTCATAAAGGAAATAGAACAAAAGAGTCTGTTTTACTACAAAGAGAAAAACAAGTCTTTGAGAGCTCGTTATGTCTACGGAACCATCTTCTTGATTATAAATCTATGCGCTTGGTTCATCCGCGACTACGCACAAAAGGCTCTGTCTTTGCTCCCATGTAAAAGTCATCATCTTTTGATATAATCTATCTTAAATGTATAAATCTAAAACATAGTCAATGTTTTATAAAAAACTTAATGTTGATGCAGATGTGAGTAGTTGCGGACCAGAAGGAAGTCATTGTTTCAGTACACTTGGAGTACTCCGCGTGAGTCTTGGATGTTTTGTATCCTGAAAAACTGAATCTTTGGCTGATATAATCAATATAATGTTTGAAGTAATTAGCATGTTTATTTTTCCTTAACAAATGAAGATATTTTTTCTTATTATGTTCCTCTCAACATGGAACACTATGAAACTCCATGAAGCTCAAAACAGTTGGCACTCGGATAATTGGATTTTCAAGTTTCTTCTACTGGTTGTAGCCATGGTAGCTCCTTTCTTCATACCTCAGCTTTACATCCAAATTTACGGTATGTTCAAGTCTCACTGCAACCTTTTTTCCATTTGATATGGTTTGTTTGATCAAGAAAATGATGTTTTCCTTACAGGAGAAATTGCGCGTGTTGGTGCTGGGTAAAGTCATCTTTCAAGTTGCTCTCTTAGTAAGAGAAAACATGATGATTCTCATACCATTTCTGTTGTTGCAGGATATTTCTCGGTCTTCAGCTCGTAAGTGTAATCGAATTCATCACTTGGTGGAATGACTATTGGATGCCTCATGACCAAAGTAAGCAAAGGTAAGTATTACTCAGTCAATACAAAAATGTTGTGTCTATGTGGATATATCAACTTTTGGCTACTACTTTGTTTTCTGCAGCTGCTCTTTTGGTTTGGTTATGTCGACAGTTTTCTACATCGGTTCTGTTTGTGGGATCGCAGTGATGTACTACTTCTACGCAGCTTCCACGGCTTGTGTTCTCAATATATTCTTCATCTCATGGACTGTTGTTCTTCTAATCCTTATGATCCTTATGTCTTTGCATTCAAAGGTACATTTCTTGAGTTTTTACTCGATAGTAACACAATGATCGATCTCTGATTCGAATTCTGATGCTTTTCCATTAAAGGTGAATAGAGGACTTCAATCTTCCGGGATTATGGCTTCCTACATTGTTTTCTTATGCTGGTCTGCGATCAGAAGGTAAAGAAACCAAAATCTGTTTTTTGTTTTGTTGGTTCTTCACAACATTGCTAAAGTACAAGTTATGTATCAGCGAACCTTCGCATACAAAATGCAACGCGCATACTCAGAACGATCATACTGATTGGATTACAATACTGGTAAGAGCTCGAAGCCTCTTCTTGAGTTTTTGCTTACTTACACTCAACCCAACTTTTTCTAATCTTTTTTCCTTTGTTCAGAGTTTCCTTATAGCTATAGGCGCCATTGTGATTGCTACATTCTCAACAGGGATAGATTCAGAGTCCTTCAGGGTAAGTTTTACATTCAATCTCAGCTTAAAAACCGAGACTTCCATGACGCAGACATTGAATCTAATTACAGTTCGAGTTTCGTAAAGACGAAACTAAAGAAGAGGATAATATACCATACAGCTATGGATTCTTCCACCTTGTGTTCTCCTTAGGAGCAATGTACTTTGCTATGTTGTTCATCAGCTGGAACCTCGCACATTCAGCCCGGAAGTAAGAAAGTTTCTGCTTGTTTATTCCATATTTGGTCACCAGGTTCTTGTCTCTAATTAGACTGCAATAAACTTCAGATCTCATGACTATGAAATTGTATTATATCTGTAAACACAGATGGAGCATTGATGTTGGGTGGACAAGCACATGGGTAAAGATAGTGAACGAGTGGTTTGCCGCAGCGATATACCGTAAGTTCGAATGTAAACCAAAATGGTTTCATTTACAGTTCTTGATCTGACAAAATGTTGCAAACTTAGTAACTAAATCTCTTATTATACCCAATTTAGCCACCTAATACCAGTTTTTGTATACTGATTTTGGGTTTTTATGGGTTTTGAACACAGTTTGGAAGTTGATTGCTCCTATTGTGAGACAACCTAGAATTCATGAACAACCTCAGCCAACAACAGGAGAAGTAAGCAGATAGAAAGATGAAGTGAATTTACCCCGACATTGCGCAAAGTTTTGAAATGAATACAGAAACATATCCAGCATCAATGAGACTGAGCTTGAATCTCCATTCTTCATAAAAGCTTTTTCTTCACAAGTTACATTCTTTTTTATTACCTCAAAAGAGATTTCATTAAACAGAATCCAATGTACAACCTTCAGTGAAGTCAGACTAATAAACGAAAAGTCGATTCGAAATGTAGAGATTCTCGAGTTCTTAAAACTGGATTGCTAAGATACTAAAGCTATATAGTAGACTCTATAATTCTTCAAACCATATGGAGCTATGTACATCTAGGAGTAAGGAAGGTAAAAACACAAGAACCTTAGAAGAGTCGTGGCTGATCATTTCTTATCAGATCCTGGAACAAACCAGCAATGCTTGGACGAGCAATAAGGGAATCGAGACCAGGTTAAATCCGCTGTTTTAAGATCGAAAACACAGGCACTACTCGGAAAGATTGCATCCGTAGTATGAGACGGCCAAACATCATCAACAACGAAATAGATCAAATTGCTCTTGCAGATTCCTCCTCCCTCAATAGCTGATGCTGCCAATGTCAAACCATCACCAAAAACCAACATCTCATCACCCAGAGAATCAACTCTTTCCCATTTGGTACCTTTACGATTCAGCTTAAAGACGTAGAAGGAAAATTTGTCTTGATTTTCAGGGGGTTCTTTTAAGCTCAGAACAACGATCACAACATCTCCTGAACTCGTGATTGCTATTCTCTTTTCCCAAACGTCTCTCCATGGTTTCGGAACATTCCCAAACCAAAGCTTTAAATACGGATTCTCTTCGACTAACTCCTTCGGAAAATCATCACCAGAGAAATCAAGAATCGTGATGTAATCATTCCTGGTATAAACATAGAGCTTCTGGTCCTTGTAAGCCATAGACAAACACGTTGTACCTTCAAAATACCACCAAGAATCATCTCCTTTCTTGTAAGAGAACAAGTAGCGATCACTGTAGATCCAACTAACCACAAAATCTTTCGTTTCTTCATCGATCCACAACATACCCTTCTCGATATTCATTCCGAAGATACGATCACAATCCTTACGAGAGTGTACGAGCAAGAATTCACCATCGTCTGTTCTGCGGAATCTCACTTTACCTCGAAGTGATAGAGAAGGAAGATCGATTCTCTCGCCGGAAAACACGTTTAAGATGGAGAAATCGAGATTCTGATTCAACATGAGTAACCAATTGCCGTAACTCGCGAGGCAACTACTCTCCGATAACTCCACTCCGAAATCTTTCGTCTGGTAGGTTTTGTCTTCTATAGGATCAAAAAGCTTACAAGATTCCGAGTCGGAATACTTTTCCGGGAAAATAATCAGCCATGGATACCTGTTTGGAAATCCCCCAACGCACGATTTCGAAACCGAGTACCACCTTGAACAAACGAACCTTGCTCGATGAAAAACTGGAAAATTCAAGCGTTCGAATATCAATTGCATTGCATCAGAACACATCTCTGACCAATCACGTTTTCCAGATTTCATCTTTTCTTCTCTCTGATTCCCATCCATGATTCTTCTCTCTGAGGTTTCTGTGTTCTTCATTAGTTAGTTAAAAGAAGGGAAGAAGACGATTTTAAACTTTTTAAATTTGCATGTAAAACCTTATCTATTTAAATATCTCAATTTTGGCACTTTATTATTTTGCAAGATAAACCTTATAAATTTTAAAAATTCAATTTTGGCACTTTGTTTTTGTTTACCAACCCATGCATCTCAAGTGTTCGACAGTTTGTCTAAAGAGAAATTTATGATATTTATAGCTTTTTATGCAAAGCTTCATTGTTTGATCAACGAAGTTTAGATGATCTGATCTGTATGGTATGAACTTCTCCTCGCAAAGATTAACAAATACGAACTTTATCAACGGTTCAACCACGAATTATGCTAAATTTAAGATTGAAAATGAAGACTTACAACATAGTTCACAAAGAAAAATTATTCTAAATCTCCAGAGCAATCAAGAAATTTTTTATGTAGTTTTCATGAGTCGAGTCATAAACCTTGTTATACTTGAACACCATATTATCACACTTTGTACCTTCAAGATTCCTCAGCCAACAATAGAAGTCAGCAGCTAGATAGATGAAGTGACTTTACCCCGACATTGCGCAAAGTTTTGAAGTTAATACAGAAACATATCCAGCATCAATGAGACTGAGCTTGAATCTCCGTTCTTCATAAAAGCTTTTTCTTGACAAGTTGCATTCTTTTTTATTACCTCAAAAGTGATTTCATTAAGAACAGAATCCAATGTACAACCTTCAGTGTAAGTCAGACTAAAAAAAGAAAAGCCGATTCGAAATGTAGAGATTCTCGAGTTCTGTAACTGGATTGCTAAGATTCAAAAGCTATATAGTAGACTCTATAATTCTTCAAACCATATGGAGCTTCTTGCTATGAACATCTAGGAGAAAGGAACCGATACCATCTTGATTCCTTAGAAGAGCCGTGGCTGATCATTTCTTATCATATCCTGGAACAAACCAGCGATCGTTTGACGAGCAATAAGGGAATCGACACCAGCTTGATTCCACTGTTTTAAGATCGAAAACACCGGCACTACTTTGAGAAACTGTATCATCCTTAGGCGGCCAAAGATCATCAGCAACAAAATAGATCAAATCCCTCTCTTTAACTGATGCTGCTAATGTCAAACCATCACCAAAAACCAACATCTCATTACCTAGAGACTCTACTCTTTCCCATTTGGTACCTTCAAGATTCATCTTATAGCCGTAGAACAAACGTTCCTCTTGATTTTGAGGGAATCCTTTTAAGCTCAGAACGATCAGAACATCTCCTGACTTCGTGATTGCTATTCTCCTCTTCCGAATGCGACCCCATGGTTGCGGAACTTCCCAAAACCAATGATTTAAATACGGGTTTTCTTCGACCAATTCCTTGGGGACATGACCAGAGAAATCAAAAATCTTGATGAAGTCAAACCAGGTATAAACATAGAGCTTTTGGTCCTTGTATGCCATAGACAAACAGCTAGTACCTTCGAAATGCCACAAAGAATCATCTCCTTTCTTGTAAGAGAACAAGTAGCGATCCTTGGATATCCAACTAACCACAAAATCTTTCGTCTTCTCATCGATCCACAACATACCCGTCTCGATATTCATGTGGGAGATTGGCTCACTATCATTACGAGAGTGTACGAGTAAGAGTCCACCATTTGTTCTTCGGAATCTTATTTTACCTCTGAGTGTTAGAGGAGGAAGGTTGATTCTCTCGCCGGAAAACACGTTTATGATCGAGAAATCGAGATTCTGATTCAACATGAGTAACCAATTGCCGTAACTCGCGAGGCAACTACTCTCCGATATCTCCACCCCGAGATCTTTCGTCTGGTAGGTTTTGTCTTCTATAGGATCAAAAAGCTTACAAGATTCCGAGTCGGAATACTTTTCCGGGAAAATAATCAGCCATGGATACCTGTTTGGAAATCCCCCAACGCACGATTTCGAAACCGAGTACCACCTTGAACAAACGAACCTTGCTCGATGAAAAACTGGAAAACTCAATCTTTCGAATATCAATCGCATAGCATCAGAACACATCTCTGACCAATCACGTTCTCCAGATTTCATCTTTTCTTCTCTCTGATTCAGATCCATGATTCTTTTGAGAAGAATCTTCTCTGAGGCTCCGTGTTCTTATACTTATGATTAGTTACAAG